CCACGCACACGCACGCACGCACCCACGCGCGCGCGCGCGCACGCACACACACACACACACACACACACACATGCCCACGCACACATACACACACACACACACAAATCTGCAAAGAGGAAGGTGGGCGTGCGTGTGTGTGCATGTGTGTGTGTGTGTGTGTCTGTGTCTGAGCATAGTCGCCTCTAGACGCGGATACCTTTGTGTTCAAAATGCACAGCAGTGACACTCTGATCAGACACCGGGTAACTTCAACACCAGTTCAAGGTGAACTGCACCTCGGCGCGAACTCTCTGACAAAACGTATGCCCAGTACCGCCACCCCCATCCCCGCGCTCATGGAGAACGGCAAAGAGTGAGTATGAGAGGCACATTGTACTTCTTGTCCAAACCTACTTCAGTATTTTCCGCAGGATAAGCCACACTTCGTTCGGCTCGGTACACAAGAGACCAGTAGTTCATTGGTTAGAATACACCAAGTAGAAGTGTCAGTAATCCACCCCAAATAACTCTGCACGGCATACACTACGATGATCACCCTGAGGATGGGAAATGCCCAAAAATATGGTGAACAGTCTAAATGACGCATGCAGCAAAGAGACCGTACTTTGAATGTTTGAGTTGAGGTATCCTATCGTTGAAATTAAATGTGGGTCAGTTGCCTGAAGATTGCCATCTGACATGAAACTTTTAGTTACAACAATCCAGACGCGTGGTGCTCTGTGACTCGTGTGTTACTGCTCTGCTTCCACATTGAGCACTCTATCGAACCGGAGGACTCCGCTCTCTGTGGTGGTTGGTAGATATCGACAACAAATCTAGGTGCAGTTTAAACGACAGTACGGTGTATACCCCGGACATACCATACTAGTAAGTGAATTGCACTGTATAAGAACTTGCTCCCTCACTCACCGTGGTTAGCCGAGGGCGCAAAGCAGTTGCCAACGTCAGCTCCTCTTCGGCCTGCGTGTTTGGCAGCTGTGATGCTGACTGGGAGTCGAACGATCTGAAGATGTCGGACGTAATCGACGTCTCGGGATTACGCTTGGCTGCTGGGCCATCGACCTCCGAAGAGTCGCTTTCGGTCGGCTGCCCGTAAAACGAGGATGGCGATGTTGCTCGCTGTGCAGATGAACGATGAGTCGACAGCGCACTTGGCTCAGGATACTGTACGCTGGATAGAGTTACGGCTGTTGTCAGTGGCGAAGGAGGTGGTTTTGCACGAGATGTTTGTATGACAGTGGACGCATGTGATTCCTCGGTAACCGGTGGTTCCGCCGCGGTGCCGAGTAACACGGGATTCGGCGGCTCCACGACCGCTTGACGGCGACTGCGCAGGCCGGAACCTTTGCGTGCACTTGCGCCGGCGTCAGCTTGCTTCTTCCTCTTCGGTTCATTGCCTTCGCCGGGGCTTAGGGCTTGGCGACGCTTTCCCCGACGCCCAAGTGACAATGGCTCCGCTGGCTCAGCAGCGAGGGCAGGTGCTGGTGACGCGGACGCAGAGAACGAGAGCTGGCGTACTAGCGGGTCTGGCTGCTCGTCTTGTTTCGGCGAGTCGTCACCGACTGAAAACTGCACGTCGAGAATACTGTCAGCAACGTGAGCTAAGGTAGCGTGAGCGCCCGATGGGGTGGCGAATGGAGAGGGTGCAGCCGGCCGGACTGGTTCTTCGGCTTGTTCTAACTCGTGTGTTTCTTGCTGTTTGTCTTTCCGTTTCTGTTTCTGTTGCTGTTTCTGTTTCTGTTGCTTTTCCTGTTGCTGTTGTTGACGCTGTTTCTGCTGCTCCTGTTGCTGTTCCTCTTGCCGTTTCTGACGGAGTTGTCGCTCCTCCTCCTGCTGCTTCTGACGCAGCTGTTCTTGCTCCTGCTGTTTCTGACGCAGTTGTTCTTGCTCCTGCTGCTTCTGGTGCAGTTGATCTTGCTCCTGTTGTCTCTGACGCAGCCGTTGTTCCTCTTGTTCCTGCTCAAGCTCTAACTGCCGCTGCAATTCCAGCTGCCGCTGTTTTTCTTCCTGCTGCTTTTGCTTCTTGGTCATCTTCTTCTGCTTCTTCTGGCGCTGAGGTTGCTGATTCTCCGTGCTGCTCGTCGCAGAAGGCGGTTGTGGCACGGAGGCGGCTTGTTTCTTAGACGTGCCGTCGCCAGAAACACTATCCCGTTCCCGCTGCACAGTGGGTGAGGAAGCAACGAGGGACGGCTGAGGAGTAAGTGCGGCAGGGGCAGCCACGGCTACATGCTGCACCGTCTCCTGACCGACAACGCCACCACCGGACTGCAATACAGTGTCATGGACGGCGACACTCGAAGCGGAGCGTGACAGCGACACGGAGCCGTGCTGCTGTGCCGGTGTAAGCGACGCCGCTACTGCTGCTGCAGCTGCTGGCAGAATGGAGACGGGAACATGAGCGCCGACCGGCGACAGGAAACCCACCGGAGTGGTAGTCGTTGTTTGCTGCGACACGAGATGCTCTGGTGCCACGGCAACATAGCTGATACTCTCCCGTGTCTGACGCTCCACTTTGGGATCCTCTTCTTCCTGCGGGCGACAGCAGAACAGAAAACTATTGTAGTATTGTTTGCTGCATCCGAGCCTCCGGATCCAAAAATTGGGGATTAATTATTTTTTTCGAACACTTTTAAAAGTTATACACCTGATCATGGGGTGGCGGCATCCCACGGAGCGGAATGGCGGTTCTTGACACGCCCTGTACGCGAACCAGTGTAATTTCCTAGAAGTTACTGTAACATGACAATGCAAACATCCAGCAGATCACTGTGCAAAAAAAATATCAGTCAAAAGTCATACTGTATTAACCCTTTGTGGACGGACTGTACGAGTTTCGATCGAAACTTGAAACGCGGATTTTTCTGGGCGCACCGCACGTTTTCGGCGATATTTTTACACAAATCGAAAGACGAAATCCATATCTTCCCAATGGTGCTAAATTCGCCGGGGGTCCCTAGTCAAAATGTTGACCAAATCGGCCGCGCAAGAAAAAAATTGAGAGCTTGCGCGAGCATGCAGAACTAAAATTGCAGTACGAGTACTGTCATGGCACGACGCGGAAACGTCCTCCGCATGGATGCGGTCGATGCCATCGGCATGATTCTGAACTGGAACTCTGACGAGGACAGTTCTGGCGACCCACTTGACGAGTCTGATGATGACGAGTTCGAAGTGGACAGTGATAGTGATGATGATATCCCAGAAATTCAAGAAAACAATTTATCTGATGGATTTGCTGATACTGCTAGTAGCAACAGCGGCGGCGAGGATGATGATGGACAGCTTATCCTATCTACTTTCCGAAAATGTATGGTGTTGTATTGGCTAATGTACACCGATTTCGTGTTATTACTGATTTTCGCATGTCGCTTCTTTCCTGTACAAATTTGGTAGTCCATAAAGGGTTTTTAGTCAACAAGTATTCGGCTCATATTTATTTTCGGCTGTTTTCGGTCTGGCCCTGTTTGGCCGAAAATTTGTTGAAGCCGAAATTTTTGTTTTGCAAGGTTCAGTGTGACAGTGTATACAGGCAGCAGCAGCAAAGGCCGAAAAATTGATGCGGCCGAAATGGGTTTTAGCCCTGGGAGGCCGAAATTTGAATGGGCTGAAAATTTGTCGACTCACAGTAGACTGGTACGCCCAAGAACGTCCAGGCTGGAAATCTAAGAACGTCCTGGCTGGAAATCTAAGAACGCCCCAGCCTGGATTTAAGAATGAACTCCAAGATGTTTAAGAACGTACACGAAAAACAAGTCCGCAACCACAAACTCTTGTCGGGTCCTCGCGAAAACATCACCCAGCGCAGCGCTACATACTACACGTGCATGTAACGTGTGCAACCGGTACATGTAGCGCACAGTGCATTGTACATGAGCGTCACGGGTCATGTTGGACGCGTAAGAACGCGAAATAAGAACGTAGCCTGGGGGCGCTGAAAAATAAGAACTTTGCTAGGCTGGCCCTCTGAAACGGCGTTCTTGGGCGTACGAGTCTACTGTACAGTAGTACTCCATCAAGAGACAAAGCGAGAGCACTTACCGTTACCGTATCCACTACAGCGGTACCCTGCAGGAGCTCGGTGACGATGCGCCGCTCTCGCGTCACCGTCTCCGTCTCGATGATGGTCATGCGCGCCCGATGACCAAGCTGCATGGCTACCTGTAACCGCCACAGCACAATCACAATAGGGCAGCAATACAGAGACAGCATAGAGTACTTTACACGGCAAGCAACAAAAGTAAGAATGTATCTTAAAGAATCCAATACACTACACCACCACACTGCGCTCTTGGCCGATCCAAACTCTGCACTTACATCACCATCACCACAGCGAGGACAATTCCGGTATATAGATGTGGTGGTGTATGTGGTGTATTGGATTCCATAAATTAATGGCCGGGTCGTCGCTACTTCTTCGGATGTATCTTAAAAGCGGAGAAAATGTTGACCGGTCTCTGGTGGGATGACGACTACACAGCATCTCTGGTCCTAAGCGAAGGTCCCTGGTTCGAGTCCTGGTGGTGACAGTCATTTTTTCTTCTTCAGATTTTTCCCCTTTGCATTTCCCCTCAGACCAACGAAAAGCGGGGAAAGTGATAGATGACCTTCAGTGCAATGTGACGTACCCGCGTCCTTCCTGTACATCTCCCCGCTGCATAATACCACTTTCTTCAAACCTCGTACGCAAGACTACTTGCTGGCACACACCTCCGCCCAAATATACGGACGTGCACAAACGTGCGGACAGACAGACAGACAGTTGGCAGAGGCTTGATACTATGGGCATACGGCGACACACCAGCACAAGTCCAGCAAGGGATGCATAGAATGGAACAGTACACAGCCGGATCGCACAACAAGACCAAGGCTAGACTGATTGATACTAATGAACAATTATCGTTGAGAAGAAGACAATCGTGGAAACGATAAAAACATATTTGTACCAGTATCAATCAGTCTAGCATTGCTCTTGTTGTGTGGTCAGACAGACAGACAAACGC